TAAAAGTACGCTTGGGAATGTTTGGTGTGAACCGCACGAGTCCATGCCAAGGCAGTTTCCTTGGATCGTGTTCTTAGCTTATTCCAAGCATTATGAACTGTGAAGCATTTAAAAAAGGGATTGCCAACTAGATGATTCAGAAAGAATAAATCAAGACCCAGGAATTTAATCTTGCAGCTTTGCTGTTTCCAATTTGAATCCGCTATTTCATCAAGAAGTCGGCATAAAGAGATAAACCCCACATCGCATACCATCCTGTTGGAAGATGACCAGGGGGTGCCGAGGATCAAGCCACAAGGAGGAAGTCTTCCACTCTTCGTACCATCCCCAATGCTAGACCGACTACGAGACTGACCTCGATACGTGAGAGGAATTTGGCAGGAGGTGCTACAAGCTGATCAGACATTCTGTAATTCAACCAATCCATAATGAGCCAGCTGATTCAAAAAGTATCACCCACATTAGCTTCATAACAGCAGCTTTCTTCTTCTGATGAATCAGAAACAATCCCAGATGACCTTTCCCTCTTAATAAACAAACATCGAACCCATTCGACGTTCCCAGCGAAAGGCAATCTTTACTAGACCACAAAAAGGAGCTGCAACATCTTTCCATGAAGAATCAAGACCCAGTACCAATAAGAGACTATACCATATAACACTGAACTAAGTAAGTTAAGCCTCACAGCGAAAGGCGATCTATACTCTATAACTCTGCCTAGAGTATTCTGTCAGTCAAGGGCTTACGATCTTTCGCAGATAGCTTCCCAAAAATCAAAAGCAATCCCAGGTGTCTCGCGGCAAACTACCCATCTTTATAATCAATTTTGATCATCAGGAATTCCAAAAGGTCTAGAAGCTCCTTGAGCTTAGATATACAGAACCTCCACAATGTCATCATGCTTCTTGCAACTCAAAATATATCTTATTGCATTCCTGGATATCCTTGGCTTCACAATCTTGTGAAAGAAACCAATGTTTTTAATCTCCCAATTCCAGCCATGTCAATATTAATTTCTGCCTGTAAAAAGGCTTTCTTCCATCGATTCTAGCTGCCCAACCTCCAAACTAAGTGGACAATAACCACGAATTACCGAGTAATGGAAATGATTGTAATTAAATGGTTCAACATAACAACCATATTATTCCATAAAACTCTCACGCATTCCAAATTTAAGTTCATTTCCGCTCCTAAAAATTTTTTTAAGCTCATTTTCTAAAGCCAAACGCATGGTCAAGTGACTGAACTCATTTCATAAGAAAATGTAATAAGAAAGAGATCTTATGAACATCTAAATACACATGTTCAGCATACAAAGTTAATCATTTCTTCTGGAAGGTCATTAGGAATTTTATAACTTAGACATTTACTCGACAACTTTCTTACAACTCTTTTCCAATTTTGTTTCCTCCCCAATTCTTCTAATTTGATTCTTACACTATCGATATGCTGGATTAGTATAAACAAGATGAAGGTCCAATGAGGTGGGCGAAATAGGCATTATATGTTAAGCAAGCTAGGGAGAAAATGGCTTACAAACGAATAATTAAATGGAAAATTGAAATGATTTACAAGAATTCCTTGTGTTTGCAAAGCTTGGTCGTGAAAAATGGTGAAGTTCCAGGATCCAAGAAGCCCATGATCCAAGAGATTTTTGGGTCAAAGCGATGCATATAAAACTGCCGACCAATGTGACATTCCTTCTTTTAGAAAACTCAACCTCCCCTTATCAACCCCCCTAATTTCAGATTCAGACGTGCGTCCATGTGGATCCACATTGGTACATGGGATATACTGGTCAAACCCTAGCTATACATCACCAGTTTTGCCGACATATATTGTATTTTTTATGTGTTAGGCTTCTGCAAGATGTCGTAGATGCATGTCATGTATGTGTGTGAATGAAAAAAAAGTGTAATGATAAAAAAAGAAGAAGATGCACAAGCATCATAAATCTGAAAATATCAGTGAATATTCAATTTTTCTAACCATTATGTATGGATAAAACCTGATCTCTCACTCTCTCTATCTTAATTTGTGTATTCGTTGATAGATGTATGAATCGCGTCATTGAGTACCTCTCAACAATAATCTTGAATTGGAATCCAAATAGACGGGTTCGTGAGTTTATCCATGCGGTCCCGCGCTCTTTGAATAGAAATCCATCTTTTGAGAGATCCGAACTTTATTAATGCGATTATTCCTATTGTATTTGGTACGATACATGGAATGATCACGGTTGAGATCGCCATTCTTAGATCCATATCCATCGGATTGGACATGAAAAAAGTCCAATAGCTAAAGAAAGAAACTTTCTTGTTCACTCAATAAAGCAAGATCCGCTCAGAGCATGCACGCGGTATCTTTTCATATTCGCCATCATCTTTCCACCGCTGCTTAAATTAAACCACACTAAAATTAACGACTCATGATGTGAGTGGTATCGCGTTAACCCGTAACACGATCGAGGGGCTAAGTATAATATGGTAAAGGACATGCATGCATCATTAAGGGTGTACTCTTCTTTTGTCTCTTCCTCATAACTCCATTTTACTTGTACACAAGCTACGGAGCTTTACTTGCCCCGCCATAATCGAACTGTTACAAAGGTTCAGTTTTGCGATTGCTTGACCTATCTGCTACTTTAACCAAGTTGTTTCCACAATTTAATGTGCTTCTCTTGATAACTGTAATTAAACATAGATTGTTGCTTGGCTTCCAACACTTACGTGGGCAATCAGAGTTGAGAATTGATCAAGGAGCTCCGCTAGTGGTGTTTAGCAATTGATTTGAAAAATTGTAGGAATAGTTACAGGTTTGAAGCAAAAAACAAAACCAGAAATCTATTGTTGCTACCTCATCTATATAAGTTTAGAGGCTAAAATTTTTTCATTGAAATACTGTCGAATATTGGAATTATGGAAAAAAAACTTGCCTCGTAAAAAGTATTAGGCATTCCCATTATTGGCCCAATTAAAAAAAAATGTCTTCGCTGTGCCGATAACGGGGTCATTTACAACATAGCTTTAGTTTTTCGTGTTGCCAAATGTAATTAATTTTATAGTTTGGTCACTCATATAGATTTCAAGTTATGCCTTACCTGAATGATTCATGAGGTTAGTGGAGTATTTCATGGATCCAGGGTTTTCCTACGTATTTAAAGTGGACTTCCTTGCCCCAAAAGAAGGGAAAAAAATCAAGCTAGATTGCAATTTTTTGACCAACCCTATTCCTATAGTTGGAGCTTTTACTCCTCATAATAGGATATGCAGACATAATTACACCAAGCACAACAATCAAAACCTGATAAAGCTCGGTAGAGCAACAAGCGGAATAATGCTAAGACGGCATGTCAAGATTCAAACTCTCAATGGAAAATTTTGTTACCATGTTAGACAATCATTCTTGACAGAACTTATTGATCATCGAGTAATCAAGAATCACACCTAAAACGCGTACGGGCACGATTTATTGAGTCCAATCAAGTTTAGAGGAGAGGTCCAATTTTGAACCCACGATATCTTCTCTCCCTTGTAGCTAATAGCATGCTGGCCGACTCATGTGCAGTTACCATATAAACATCCCATGTACTTTCCAAAGGGAACATCATTAATTGCAGGACTTTCCTAATATGAGCACCTTGATTTTGACTGAAATGATCTTCTTATATATGATTCTAGGGCATTTACTCCTATGCTGCGAATGGAGCTTCTCGAACGAGAGAAATTCTTGGGATTAATTAATCTTATATTGATGAGAGGTCAAGGAAGCAATTGGAGGCTGCCAGTTTTTTACGATGAGGTAATTTACAACACAGCTTTAATTTTTCACATCCCCAAATGTAATTAATTTCGTATTTTGGTCACTCATATAGATTTAACTCGTGCTTTACCTAAATGATTCATGATGTTAGTAAAGTATTTCATAAATCCAAGGATTTTTTTACATACTTAAAGTGGACTCCTCAAAATAGGATATGCATACATAATTACACCGAGCACAACTATTAGGAAACTGATGGACCTCGGTATAGCAACAAGCAGAATAATGCTAAGACGGCATGTCGAGATCCAAACTCTCGATGGATAATTTTGCTACCATGTTAGACAATCGTTCTTGACAGAGCTTATCGATCATCGAGCTACCAAGAACTGCACCTAAAACTCGTGCAAGCACTGTTTATCGAGTCCGATCAAGTTAGAGGGAGAGGTCCAATTTCGAACCCACAACACCTTGTCTCCCTTATAGCTATTTGCATGCCCGCCGACCCATGCGCACTTACCATATAAACATCCCATGTACTTTTCAAACTGAACATCATTAATTGCAGGAGTTTCCTAATATGGGTACCTTTATCTAGACTGAAATGATCTTCTTAAATACGATTCTAGGGCATACTTCTCGAACGAGAGAAAAATTATGGGATAAGTTAATGTTAGATTGATGAGAGGTTAAGGAAGTAATTGGAGGCTGCCAGTTTTCTATGCCATGTATGCTTTGATGCATCGGCTCGTAGAAATGGTGCGCGCATCACAAATCCTGTGCCTGCTCTCTGAAGCAACACTCCATCGCCTCTCTCGAGGCAATTGCTTCCTCCCTCAGGCAGCGCGGCCCAATCGCAGAGCGGGACGTATTTGGGGACACAGACACCTCGAATCAGCCTGCGGTGTTGCGAAAACCCTGCAACTTTCTCTCGTCCTTGACGGCAACGGAATGTCAACTCCCACTCCACACACTCATGTGCACGAGTGCCTCCACATTTCCATGTGCCTCTCTCTTTATTTTTATCAGAACCCTGAAGAAAAAAAGATAAAAAAAATATCGTCTCATGGTTAGGCTTATGCATGTCTCTGCTTCATTTAACACACTCTCTCTCTCTCTCTCTCTCTCTCTCTCTCTAGGGTTTCAGAGGGAGAGGGTATGTTCTTTTGGTGGTTCTTCGTTTTTGAAGAGAGAAGGGTTTTCATGGAGGTTTGAGCGATCTTGATGACTGAGGGAGAATGGAGAGAGCGTGGAAGCCAAATGTTGAGATGTCACCGAACTGTCCACGCTGTGGATCTTCCAACACCAAGTTTTGCTACTACAACAATTACAGCCTCACTCAGCCCAGGTACTTCTGCAAAGGTTGCCGGAGGTACTGGACCAAGGGCGGCTCTCTCCGGAACGTCCCCGTCGGCGGCGGCTGCCGGAAAAACAGGCGGGGCAAGTCCATACGGATGTCCTCCGGTGCTACTACTTCATCGGCTTACCTTGCTGCCGCCAGCAACCCTTTTGGGAGTGGATTGTCCATAGGTACTATGTTGAAAGACGGCAATAGTTCCTTGGCTGATCTGACTAGCTCGTCTAATGGCGGGTCGCATATCGATCTCGCGCTCGTCTATGCGAATTACTTGAGTCAGAAGCCTGAACCGGCACATGAAGAGTTGGCCGGGGGTGAATCTGATCACCACGACAGCCAGCCTCTGGCAAACGTACGGCAAGTTCATGACTTGGACAATATCGAATTGATGCATGGAAATGAGCATCTTGGATGCGAGTTCATTTCTGAGCTTTTTGCTGAGACTCACTTAAGCAATGGAAATAACCAGATGTTCCATCATCCTCATCATCATGGAGGTGACTCCAACAATCTTAACGGGATCAGTGATCGGATTCAACCGTGCGATGGTGGTGATGCGAGCTACTTTGGTGGGTTGCCACCTTTGCCAAGCGAAGGGGGTGGCACGTGGTTGAATGACCCTCACCTTTTAATGGTGAATCATGGGTTTGAGGGCACAGAGCTTATGCCAGTTCTTGGACCAGAGGCTAATCCAGATCTATTAATCGGCAACTGGAGGGAATTTGATGTGTCTGTACAGGATGCAACTTTCTCCAAGAAATGACACAGAATGTAGTCATACCTCTCTCTCTCTCTCTCTCTCTCTCTCTCTCTCTCTCTCTCTCTCTCTCTCTCTCTCTCTCTACTGTTACTTAATACTACAATTATGTATAGAAAGACACGAGAAATAACCAGAGACTGAAAACGAATTATGTATACTTTATCACCGGAATAATGTATGAAAATTGGTTTTTCTTTAGCTTTTGTGAGGAAGTTTTACTATAGTTATTTGAAGGCACTGACAATACGAAGTCCCTGATTTGATTCTTAATATCACCTTCTTTTAGGTTTTCTTGTACAAAGCCAATCCTCGCCAGTGATCTTATGCCGAAGCACGATATGGACGTCACATCAATTTCGCAGTAATGTGCGTTGGGCGAACAAATTGAGAATTCCTGATTGTGATCTGCTACTAGCCCGAGCATATCACATGCTTACATTGATTAAGTGGAACTTTGTAGCCGGTTTAATTTGCTGCTAAGGACATAGTTTTGCTAAATATAGTACAGTTGTTGGGACACGCAATTGACAAAACATACTAAAACTTGAATTTGCAGCTTCAACCAAGAGATCTCCAGTTTCTTGGACAGTTCCTATTTTCAGCCATTATCTTTGACATCAGTCCTGAATCAATTTAAAGAAGTTCGTCAATGCATAAAAGAAGGGCGGAAACACACTCTCTAAACTTGACGGAGAACTGCATACTATGATGTTCTTTTCACTCGTTAAAGTTGAAATTCACGTTAGAAATTCGAAGATATCGTTGCTCGCCCTATCTCAATCTCAGGGATATTATCCTTAAATTTGTTCTTCGATTGATCTTGCAAGAACCCTCAGATTCACCCACCAAGGTTTGACTCATGAACCCTTTTGCTCCTCTTGTACTCACTGCCGGTTGGTGTTGGAGTTCGATCACGGAATCAGACCATACCCACATGCCGAAACCCAAGTTCTTAATGGCAAAAAAAGATGGGAACTCGCCTCTAGATTGCTTCTCTTTGTCGCTGTCCTCTGGTGCACGAAATTTGCAGCTCAAATTCAAGTGAGAATATGCATTCCTAACAAACTCGTAAATGGATAGAGTTGTTAAGATAAGTGAAGAGAACTCTGTTTTATGTTTTTATCGACCGTTTCCTGTATCTACTATGAAGATTTCCAATAATATGCTCTTTTTTTCACCATTTGCTTTGATATTCTAAGATTTTCTTTTTGTACCATGATAAAAAAGCTTAAATCCCGTGGGTTATATGGGGGAAATCACAATACCTGCGGGATTGGGAACGGAATATATAGACTTGTTCAGCACAGGGCATGGGGCGAAGATGGGGCACCTCTTGTAACTGAGAAGCGGGGATGGAGATGCAAACCCCCTCTCCCGCCCCACCCCATTGCCATCCCTAGTCTTTTTTGTTTTTTTGTCTCACTCATCTCTTCTATATACATATATGTACGGTGCTCATAGGGATCGAACCCCTAACCTGGTACTCTCCGATCCCACCCCAAAATCCCTTTACCAGCAGAGCCGCATGCATGTTGGCATTGCCATCCCTAGTCCAACCACCAAATATATAAGGTCTTGAATTTTTCAAGTTGATTGGGTCAACCCATCATGAGAATCATGAGATTTCCATATTTATTGTCTGTTTTCTAACATATCCTACTCGTACGTGCTAGGTTGCATTTACTTATTTTTCTTGATTATTATCATTAATTGATTCATTTTATTGATTGCACTCTTACACATGGCCACTTGGATTTGTATGCTTAGTAATAAAATAGAAAAAGATGGCATGAAGTAGCGTTTTCTCTAAAAGAGCATAGGTACAGGTGAAAGGCGTCAGGTAAAACTAATCTAATCAAATTCTCCAACCCAAAAGTCCCTGGTCGGCAGAAGTAAGACGGTCTTTGGTCTATAATGGGTTAATGGCGACTCTAATATCACTTAACACACAAGAAATGAGAAACCAAGTTGCAGTCGGCTTGGTTTGGGAGAGTTCGTGCGAAGCCAAAGGGTCATCTAACGAGAGGTAGTTAGCACACCCCTATCAATATGTTAAACCACCTCAAGGTTCATCTCGAAAGGGTCACAACTTATATTAAGATGTACGTATGAGTTGTGTTAGAAAAGTTACACATAGGAGAATTTGTGTGGTGTGCAGCAATTAATAAATCATTGTTGGCCTATAACTCATTGGCTTAAGCTTATGATTGAAGGTGGGTCCTACTAGATATGTTGATGAGCTAAAACCTAGGTTCCATCTTAGTGGTCTCCTCGGGCAAGCTATCAGGTTTCTGTTGCGCAAATCCTAACAAATAGTATTAGAGCCAATTGTTGATTGGTGCTCCATCCCAACTTGTTCCGGTATTTGGTGAATATCTCAAGAAAGAAATTTCATTATTGACGCTTGAGATAGAGTAGAGACCATTAATAGTTGGTCTGGTGACATGAGATAGAGACCATGGGTGATGCAATCCCAAGTTAGCAGTTGATGATGATTGCCATGCATAGTTGTGGGTGTATTGCAATAACGTGGAGATTCAACTTGAGATAAGTTGATGCAGAAAAATACCTAAATTAAGGGGAAGCATATACCTAACAATAAGCTCACACATGAGGGGGAGATTAATAAGATGCACGTGTAAGTTGTGTTAAAAAATTAATATATTCAAGTTGGCTCATAACTCATTAGTTTAAGTTTGTGTTATAAAATTAATACATTTTAGTTGGTCCTTAACTCATTGACTTAACTATTTAAGTGAAGGTAGATCCGACCGGATATGTTGACGGGTTAAGACCTGGGCTTCCTCTTAGTGATCTCCCTGAGCAAGGTATCGGGCTTCTGTCGTGCGCTCCTAACAACTTAAATATAAATATACACCGGCAAGTTTGTAAAAAAATTCGTAAGTTTTCAAACTATACATTAATTGGTAATTTCATAAAAGCATTAGTAAATTACTATAGTTATTTTCTTGTACCGATCAATAGCCAATGATATTTCCTTTAACAAACAGTTGTTTTATACATACCAACACTTATTGAAATTTATCTATCCATATTTTTGGACACGGAGCAGTAAAATTATTCTTTTCAAGTTGAATATATCATCTTTTTCTAAGGGGCTTACTAGTATAACGATTTTTGGGCTACCGTGAGATTAACGGTATATTGTGAGTCATAAATTCTTGAATGAGTGGACTTCACAACAATTTACAATTATTTGTTATTATTATTATTTTTTGGTTCATAACAAATTGAAATTCTCATAACAGATTAGAAACTGTCACCCAGTCATTTCTTCTTTCCTAAATATTATTATCACAAAGGAATGGCGCAATAAATTCCTTGTGTCTTAACATTATAAAACTGTTTTAAAAAAGACACTTCATCAGAAATACTACTACTGCTCTGAAAATGATGTTTTCTTTGCAGGATCCGGTTGCGAAAGTTGAAGGGCTTTTTGGAGTGACGAGCAATACGAAAACTATGACTGAAGACGATAGTTCGACTTTCTTTTCTTTCTTTAACTTTGTTTTCTGGCCTAATGACTGCAAGACTTTTTCAAGAAAGGCAAACAGCCATCACAAACATTCTCGAAGAGGAGGAAAAACTGGCACCTAAACAGGAGCCTCTGGAACCTCTGTAGAGCTCGCAATTTCTTACTTTTTCATAATCTAAAGTCCACTAGTCATCGCTGGAGCGCTGAGATTAACTCTCGCGTGAAAACACATAGGGGCAGATACCGTCAGTTTCACGAAAAAAGAACGATATGAAAGATATTATCCTAAAGGTCGACTGTTTGTGTCGTGTAGAAAAATTTTCGACGGCAAGCATGGCGGAAGTCACGGAGATCGTATCGAATAGCAGCTTCCCTTTTGGTCAGCTTGATGAGCGGGCTCTGCAATCCACAGCCATGAAGCAGCTGCCATCATCACTCTGCACGAATGTGGTAGCTGAATGGATGTTGAAATGGCCCAAGAATGACCACCGAAAGGCAAATTGACCACCCAAAAAAGCATGTTACAGTACGTAATCATGAAAGATTAGGATCTTTGTTGCATGCCCATCCTTTTACAATGGGCATCGCATTGCTATGATTTCACTGGAGGCTCTCATGTCTCAGTGACACTTGGGCTAAAAAGATGGGTTAAAAAAATTTGTGAAGAGGTTATTTATTTGTATAGGTAAATCTTGAGTTCACGAAGTTTCTCTAGCTTCATGACCAGCTGCAATATCATCATCATTACATGAGGGTTTATTGCATGATCCCACCATCATCAATCTGCTTTAATAAAGAAAAAATTTCTACGTAAAGCTCTTTTTACATTAGCACATTCATGATGTAAATGTCGACTCATATACTGTCCTATTGACCTAATGTATTCTTGGATACAGTTGGACATCGTGAGGAAATATCTTGTGGATTGGTGAAACTGCTGAGAATAAAGTGACGCAATGCAATCCCTTCTTTTCGTAAAATTTGATACAAGTTCTAAGAGAGAACTTATATTTTGCTTGAGTTTTAAAAAATCTCAATTCGATCGATTCGCTACACTATATATAAAGAACTTAGTACAACTAAGGGCCTGTGTTGGTAAAAAGTGGTGAAAATTTAAGAACTGAATCTTAAGTTTTCACAGTCTTAAGTGCTGAAAATAGGACTCGAAAGTTACTTGATAATAACTGAAAATTCATCACTGCGAATATAACTAATTTCTAACCAAATATGGAACAAGGATCACTAGTAATAAGTTTTAACAATTTGGCGAGGCTCTAATTACCACGAATCACTTTTTCCATTGAATGAATTAAGTACCCATCCCTTACTTACAAAATTATATGAATTTCTAAGTAATTGAATCTTTTAAGTCGATACTAACTAGGGTTATCAAACAAATTTAGTCTGATTAAGCACTGAATCTTAATTTGCAGCACATAATTAGGATAATCAAATAGGCCTTAAAGGTACCTCGGGACAGATCTTCCAAGCAAGTTGCTGCAACATT